TTTAAAAAAACATCTCTAACTTAAATTTGACATCACGAATCTTTAAAATAGCTTCGGTTTCATTCTCAAATAAATTTTCGTAACAATACTTGAGAAAAGATGACTTACAACAAGGATCAAGAATCACCGCAAAGACAAATAATGTGTCATAATCATCCTTGCTCGAGTTGAACCAATCCTTATCTAACTTTTTCTTCATTTCTATCACCATTGTTTTCAAAATTGCATCATTGCTTCTTGCCAATGCTTTTAAAAGCATAGAAAATTTCCAAACATTTTCAAAGTACAAATTTATAGTAGGATAATAACTTCCTGAAAATAAATTAGTTATGTCATAAAATGATTTTAAAATATCTCAAATTTTCTCAAGCATTTCCCACTCTTCGGTGTTTGGACAATGGTGGAAAGAAAAATCAACTACAACCATTTGCTTAAAAGCTTCACGGTACAAAATAATCCTCTCAATCATAATATATGTAGAGTTTCATCTTGTAGGAACATCAAGCCACAACACTTTAATTTCTTCTATCTTAGCTAATTTCACATTGTGTCAAAAGTATTGTTTCTTGATTCTAACCATTTAATAGAATTCACACAATCTCTTATATTGACTATGCTCAATAATCTTAAGTCCATCCTTAACAATAAGATTCAACACATATGCAGCACATCGAACATGAAAATAAGTCTATCCACATAATAACGCTCTTCTAGCATTAAAAGTTCATTTCACATAGTCTTGCATTTTATTATTACTAGAAGCATTATCTAATGTGGTGACAAAAAATCTTATAATCAATGCCTCAATCCTAAAGTAAGTCTAGCAAAACACTACATATAGTACTTCCAGTGTGCGGTGAATCAATATAATAAAAATTCAAAACTTTATTATTTAGCTTCCGGTTAGCATCTACATAATGAACAATCAAGTGCAAATATCTCTCTGTTTGACAAGATGTCCACATATCATATGTCAAAGAAATTCGACCAGAGACATTACGAAGAATCTCCTTTAAGTTATTTTTTAAAGTTTTATGCAATTTCAAGCAATCAGCTTTTGAGTGTTTGTATATATATTTCTAACTTGGTTGTTCAAATATGCATGAATTTTTCTATTACCTTCATGTTTAACCCAAGTAAAAGTATATAGGTGCTTTATAATTGCTTTAGCCACCAAATCTTTGTAGACCTTTTGATCATAATCTTTTGATTCTTCTCACTTTGTTCTCAAACTATTCTTATAAGCAAAATAGTTTTACATTTGGCAAAATGTTTTTGCATATTAGATGTTCCATAGTGTGAGATAGAAATAAAGGAAGCCGTTCCGCAATATTTACAAAGTGCCCTCTCTTTTCCATCATTAGTTTCTATCGGATCAAGACTGAGAAAATGTGTCCAAACCTTACTTCGTCTCTTAGAAAAGCATGGTGATTCTGGTATAAGAACATTGTTTGTATCAATTTGAACATAACATATATTATCATCTGATTCCATGACTATCAAAACAAATAAAAATATTGTTAGTATTAATTTAAACCTATTTTAAGTTTTAACCATATACAGTTACATCCTACAAGATCATGCACATACATTTATATTTTTTTTTCTAGCATTTAAATTTATAGAATTAACATTTGCCCTTAGCAAATTCTGAACATATGTAAAGTAGCTATAAATTACACTAAAAAATATTAACTATTGTTTTTATATTTATATGCTTTAGCAAATTCTGCACAAATTCAACACGCATACATTTATATATGTTTCTAAATATTTGCTTTTTCTAAATATTAACTATTGCGTTTATATTTATTTACTTTTTCTCTCCGCAGATTCAATACCAAGGCCATACAAACACATAACGATGATTGCCACTAATTGAACGCCCAATTGTGCATTATAGATCAATGAAATAAGTGATATTGACTCTGGTTGGCAGCAACATAAAGCAGGCATAATCAACTAATCCCAAACGGCAAAGCAACAAGCCAACAAAACATGGACCAGACATGTGAAAATAACCTGCAAAATCACTCAAACTACTCCCAGCAAGCAGAACGATAAGATTCATAAAATAACTGACGTAAACAGCGTCTAGTTGGCTCTGGGTCTCTGACTGTTTGTGGCGAGGGAAAAATGAAGATGAATCGATGAGGCAATGATGAGAGAGTGCGGCTGGTGCGATAGTTATGAACCAGGGATTTCAATTTTGAAATTTAGGGTTGAGAATTGGGGACGTGCTAGTGGCGAGTTTGATTTGTGTTTGGCGGTTTGAGAACGTGAAACTTTGAAAATATGAAAGGGAGTTGCTTTCATAAAATAATATAAAAATAAATTATTTTAAAAAAGAATTGAATATCATATCATTAGGCACTCGATTAAGTAATATTTTATGATTCGATCCCGATTTAAAAATCTATAAAAAAAACAATAGTTTAATATTTCATTATATATACCCAATAATTCAGGTCCACAGTGCAAGGATTAATAGATAAAGAGAAGGAATATAATTAGGGTTTGTGTTTAGACTACTTTACTTTGATCTTGTTTTTTAAAAGAAAATGTTAAGAATTAAAATATTCATTTTTAAACAAAATTAATAAATATCTTATTTTTATAATATATAAATATTTATTTTTATTTATAATAATTGAGATCAAAATTTATAACTTATAATTTAATATTTCACCAAATAGGTTGCACCACATACTTTTTAGGTTAGAACAATATGAAATTCAAGTCACAAATCTAATGTCTTATACGTTCTTGTCATCCATAAATGATAGTGTAATTTGAAACATTGAATGCTTGAAAGTTGAACTTGAACCTAAATGATAAAGATTGAATGACAAAATCATATTTTTTTCTTATAAGAATATATCAATAATTTATATATACTTGATTGGACTTATACTTAATTCATCAACTCGAATTGACCCAAACATCTAAAAATTGACTCGAACCGAAACTGATCAATTTGATACTAATCTGACCCGAAAATCAACCGGTATGATATTGACTCTACCCGAAATCAACCGATTTGGTATTAACTCGACCCGAAAACCCACCGATATGGTTTTGACCAACCCGAAAACTAATCGATGTGATACCCGACCCGAAAACTAACCGATTTAATTTTGACCCAACCCAGTGCCTGATCCGACTCTACTTATCATTGTCCTGAATTAAAACTGAAATTGAAATGACATGACCTAAACCGAATCAAGTCTCAAATCGAAATGACCGGACTCGAAATGACCCGGTCTGAATGACCGATCTAAATGACCCGTTTGCGACCTCTAAATTCAACATGGTATCAAAATTTGGGGATTATGTGGTTTTCTTTTTGAGCATTTTGGTCTTCTTGTTCTTGGTTTTCTTGTTTGTGGTGCCTCTGTCATTGGGGATAAAATTTTCACTAATAAGAAAATCAATGTGGTATTGGATAAGTTTAATTTTCTGTAATGAAAACAACAGATTTTTCTTGCAGTTCGCAGTGACTGGCTGGAAAAGTTGCTCATCGATGCTGTCTCTCCACCCAGCTCAACGGTGACTCTCGAGAATGGTTCGGGTTCCAAATGAGGTGTTTGAGGCATTTATTCCCCAAGATAACGCGTTAGCTTCTTGGTTTCTCTCCACCGTGAGTACCTCGTTGTTGCCTTAGCTGGTTGGTGCTGAAACGACGACTGACATATGGAGAACTATTGATAGATTCTTTGCAAGCAAAATGGCTGCCAGGATCATGAATCTCCATGATAAGCTTAAAATGTTTCGGAAAGGCTATTTAAGCAAACGTGCTTTCATATCTCAAGTCAAAGAGGTCAGCGATGCGTTGGTCGCATGTGGCAGTCCCATATCGGAGTATGAACAAGTTGCCACGATTCTGGGCGCTCTCCCCTCTCAATATCGGTCTGGCTTCACCGTTATTACGGCCAGTCAAGAACCTCTTTCTCTTGAAGGGCTTATTTCAGTTATCTTTGATGTTAAAATTCAACAACAAAATTTTGATCGGCTTGAATTCAAATTAAACTCTATCTACATTATTTCTTCAATTTAAATAATTATCTTCTAAAATTAAGAGAATATGTTTTAACTTCGACATTCTCCAAGGATCAAACTAAGTCTGATGACTTCGGCAAGTCCAAAATACTCCCTAAAATTCATTGTGAGGATTTCTACGACAAACAGACGAGACTCAAATTTACGGGTTCTGACATAGCATACCTCTAGCGTTTATGTTGTTTTCACGCTCACTAACTAACAATTAGGGGTGGGAATAGGCCAGGCCGGCTTACAAGGGTCTACGGCCTGACCTACATAAAGCCTGACCTTACCTATTTAATAAAAAGATCAGGCTCGAGTTTTTTTTAAAAGCCTGTTAACTTAAATAGGACAGGCTCAGGCTTATTATAAAACCTTATAAGCCTGATAGACCGGCCTATTTATACAAATATATACTTATTATATTTTTTGGGTACGATAAATATATATTGTCCAGTTTAGTTGACAAATCGCAGGCCGCAACTACCAAGTCTCCAACGTTGTCAACGTTTTCGGGCTCGTTGTTATTTGTTACATTCTTTTTTCTCTAAAATACACAACTATTATCTTGCAGTGAAAGTTGGGAAAAAATGTAAATTGGATTGGTTTAACTATAAATCATTATTAGTGAGAAAAGAGAAGGAAATTGGACCCATATGGTTTACAAATTACACATGTGTGTCTCCTTTTCAGTCTATTCCAGAAAAAAAAAAAACAGAGAACATGACATGAATCAATTTCCAAAAAACGTGTATGATTCTGATAGCTTTTATTTCAAGCTCATGTTGATAGTTTAAGAACCAAAAGAATGAAATGCATAAAATCAGTAAAGGTTCACAAAATCACAATCTGGAATCAGTTTCCAAATGGTTTTTCTCATTCTATTCTGGCCATGAGGATTGAGAAGGCAATGGCAAACATCAGTTGAAAATACTTGTAGTCATAAATGATTCATGATCGAGAGTCGAAACACACATATATTCCTGAATGAAATGACAATATGACAAGCTTCAAAGAAGGGGGAAACATGATAGATTGAATATAAACAAATGACATTCTAATTGTACTCTTGTGTATGTGTAGGTGGTTCTATCAATTTCACGGTACGGGGAAGAAGAAACTCGGCAAATATAGGATAGTGACTAGTGAGAGGAGGGGTAATAACCATCGATGTTATCAATATCATTGACCACTTCTTCACATGAAGAGGGTATAATTGTATAAGATAAACATGGGGGATTGAGACATCAGACCATTGCATACGCATTGAACAGAACAATTTAACGTGGCATATGCATCGAACAGAATAATTTAACGTGGCATATGCATTGAACAGAACAGATTACAGAACACACAGCAGTCAGCAGACCATGCCAGCACTCTGCCCAAAACAGTGCGCCACCGGCGCGCGAATCCACCGAGCCCATCCATGCCTGTCGGCCACCCACCGAAGCCATCACTCTCGACCATGCTCGCCCTGACCACACCCATACCTGCAGCACCCACAACTCGATGCATCAGTGGAAATTAAGGATGTTTTTGTTTTCCAAGAATGGGGTATAACCGATTAACCGTATAAACGAAAAGAATCATCACTTCATCAGCCAATGCCATCACGATTCACGAAAAAAGGGGAGGGGAAATAAAAATAGGGATCAGTGAAGATAAACATGGGGGATTGAAGAATTAAAAAAAGCTACAAGTCTACAACCATTCGAAGGGGTAACGACAATAACAGAGAGGGTTCTCGGTTTTTCAACAGAAGAGGCGAGAGCATTCATCAAGATTTGGGGGAAAACAGCTACAACCATTCGACGGAAACAATCAATGTAAGGGTTTTCTTACCCATTTTCGAAAGGAAAATAACAAATAACACAACAAGCATGTTTGGAAGTATTTCTTGTTTAGTAATTCTTTCTTAGTCTGCATGTGTTCTAGTAGTGACAGAAAGAGGAGAGTGAGGAAAATATCGTTTTTACCTTAGGGAGTAGTTGAGCCTTCGTCAGAGTGCTTCATCGGTCGAGTGAAATAAGGTTGATTTAGGGGTCTAGAGGTTCTCGGTCGGGGTTATAGGGTAGGATTTGGTTAAGAGTTTAGGGTTCTTGGTTCTTCATCATAGCAAGATAATGGCGGTGCTGGTAAGATGTAAGGCTTGTGTTGTCTAGGGTTCGAAGAAGATGGGGAGATGAAGAGGGAGAGTTAGAGAGGAAACGGTGGGATAAGAGAAGCGGTTGATATAATAAAGTGAGGCTAGGGTTAATTTTTTAACCTAAAATTGTATTTAATAACTTACCAAAATGATGTCGTTTATGTGATGCATTATTAATTTTGCATGTCAATTTTAATGGTTCTTCTTGTTGTTTGTTGTCCTATGTTGTATCATGTTTTAATTTATATTTTTACTATGTTTAGAAGATGTGTTCTCCCTTGAAAATTAGTGAACCAAAAGCATCCACTCATACAAATGATAATGAGGTGAATATACAAGTTCCTACAGATTCAACTCAAGTAGAAGCTAACAATCAAGAAAATGAACATGAAGAACCAGTTGTCGGGAGAAGGAGGAAAAGAACTTCAGTTGTTTGGAATGATTTTGATGAAATGGAAATCTCCCTTGGGGTGAAGAAAGTTGTTTGCAGATACTGCAAAAGTAAATTTGCTATTGGTGGAATTGGGTCAAGTACTACCCATTTGAAAAGACATTCCAAAAGTTGCATTCAAAAGAAGGCTAAAACAACTGCTGAAAGTAGACAACCCACCATTCCATTCCAGCCTTTATATTCAAATAACCCTTTTATGATTCCCGATGTTAGATACTCTAACTAAAAGATGAGGAAATAATTGCAACTACTATCATGGTTCATGAGTATCCTTTTAGTGTTGTTGAGGATTCTATTTGGATGTGGGCCTTCCAATATGCAAACCTTGATTTTCATAAGGTTACTCATAAAACTGCAAGAAATGATTGTTTGGCACTTTTTGAGATGGAGAAGAAAACATTGAAGAAATTGTTATAAAGTGTGAGCAAGATGAGTTTAACTACAGATATATGGAAATCTAGCTATCAAGTAGTTGAATATATGGTTATTAATGGACATTTCATTGACGCGAGATTGAATCTTCAAAAAAGAGTTTTAAGTTTTGTGAAAGTGCCTGCTCCAAGGCGTGGTATTGATGTTGCTGATGCTATTTTTAAGTGTTTGAAAACTTGGGGATTTGAAAATAAAGTTTTTTCAATATGTGGATAATGCTTCTTACAATGACTCATGCATAAGATGTCTCAAAGAGAATATATCTCTAAGTAGTAAGTTATTCCTTCGTGGCTCTTTGTTTCATGTTAGATGTTGTGCTCACATATTGAATTTGTTAGTGCAAGATGGCCTTAATACAATTAAGGATATCATTTTCAATATTCGTGAAAGTGTCAAATATATTAGCCACAACGATGCAAGACTAAAAGTATTTTGTGATGTTGTTGAGCAAAAACGCTTGAAAGAAAGGAAACTTGTTATTGATTGTCCAACAAGATGGAATTCAACCTTTAATATGTTGTCAACTGCTTTGAAATTTAAGATTGCATTTTCTTCTTACAAAGAATGAGAGCCTCACTATAATTATGCACCTTCACTTGAGGAGTGGAATCAAGTTGAGAAAGTTTGTAAGCTGCTGGAAGTTTTAAATCTTGCTACTCATGTCATCTTAGGTACAATAACAAATAATGTTTTTGTATTTTATTAGATCATTTTGTTATCCCTAAATGTCTTTGATATAACTATTATTTAAATGCAGGTAGTGAGTATCCGACTGCAAATTTGTATTTGACAGAAGTTTGGAAGGTTAAACAAATACTTGATAAGGAGATTGAAGCTGAAGATCTCTTCATGAGGGAAATGGTAGGTCTAATGAAGAAAAAGTTTGAAAAATATTGGGGGGAATGTAATATGTTGATGGCTATCGCAAGTGTTTTGGATCCTAGGTGCAAATTTCATATGGTGAGTATATGTTTTCCCTTGATATATTCTAAAGAAGTTGCTAATGAGAATATAAAGAATGTGAAAAGTTCATTTGAAGAATTGTATGATGAGTATGTAGGTCTATGTTTACAAGAGTCTATGTCTAGTGTTGTTAATTTAGATGATAATATTTCATCATCCTCCCAATTGAATACTTCAGTTGTCACTGGTTTTGACGAAATTATGAGCATGCTACGTGAAAAGGAAGCTGTTTCTCCTATAAAATCAGAATTGCAGGATTATCTTGATGAAGGTATTTATGTTCCTAACACTAATTCCTTCAGTGCTTTGGACTGGTGGAGGAACAATAGCATGAAATATAAGATATTGTTTAAGATAGCTGCTGATATACTAGCTATTCCAATTTCAACTGTGGCATCGGAGTCCACATTTAGTGCTGGAAGTAGAGTAATTGATGAATTTCGCTCTAAGTTAAACGAAGAATTTGTTGAAGCTCTAATTTGTGGTGGAGATTGGTTTCATCATAAATATAATGTAAAGAAAAAAATCAAAGGTTAATATTAATTATTATAATTTTTATAAGTAATATTTAATCATTTTTAGCAACTTGTTCATTTATTTCTGTAGTGTTTTCAATCCAGTAACTAATATTTATGTACTTTTCTTCTTATTTTGAAGGCTGAAAAATAAGAGATACAAATCACATTGAAGTTTTGATATACCAGTTCTGTTCAAATGGAATGGAGATGTAGGAGTTATTTTTTGTTTGTAATAGTTAATATGTTGGTTTGATAGACTTGGATGGTGCTACCTCAAGTATGAGGTTCTATTTTGTTTTGGATTATTTTATATTGATTTCAGTTTATATTAAAAATTAATTTAGCCTATTAATTTATAGAATGTGTGTTATTTTTTTAAACAAGCTTTTAAACAGGCTATCGAGCCAGGCCGAGCCAAAATAAAAGCCTTTGACAGGCTATTGGCTAGGCTCAGGCCTACAAAATTCATCGTAGGCCAGGCTCAGGCCTATTAAAGCCTGACTCAGGCCTATTAAAACCTGGCCTGGCCTGGCCTATTCCTACCGCTACTAACAATCAATTAATTAGAAAACGCTTTTTAATCTGAACTATTTTGTCATCTTATAGTCAAACAAGTGGACCAAACGTGGACTAAGCAACTTATAGGTGAACATGACAAGTGGGATAGATATGAAGTCAACATAATTATTTGGACCCGAGCCAACAGAGAGATTTTTTTAAAAAAGGTTATGGTAAAATTTCTCTAATTTGATTTAACTCCGTTTATTTTTAAATTTTTTAGATAAAATTTGAACCTAATTTGATATGAAATAAATATATTTATAAAAATATTATTTTTATAAATTAAAATAGGGATCTAATTGAAAAATAATAATTTAGAGAGATACTATTACAATTGTCCTTAAATATATAAGGTATAATTACATTATTTTTCGGGTCGGACCGAATTAGATATTTTTCACCCTAAACTCAAATCCAACTCGACACGAATATACTCTCTAAAAAAACTCGATTCAAAATCGTTTTTTATAAAAAAAAACTCGATCCAATAGAATTAAGTCGAATCAGAACCTATTGAGTCCATATCTCATTCCCATCCTACTCCCAATCCTCATGATCTCTTCTTCCTTTTTCTTTTTCATTTTTAATTTTATTCTTCATTTAGTTTTTCTCTTTTGATTTCTTATGCTTACATATTTCTTTGCAAAGTTTGTATAGAAGATCTAAACTTGCAAAGAAGATTTCATTTTACTTTCATTGGGTAGCTATTATTAATGATCCTAAGTATTATGGAAGTTTTTATATTAGGATAAAAATATTAGATATCGTTGAACTTTAGGCATTGTACCATTTATACCACTGAATTTTTAATTTTGTCAATGATTGAATTTTGTTTTAATTATACCATTTGGTCGTTAAATCGTTAACGACACAATAATGTGACTAATGAATACTAACATGTACGCTTCACCCAAAAGACATCGCTTTGATTCAATTATTTTGGTGTTTAAAAAATTAAAAATGATGTCATTTTGTTGAATAAAAATTAAAGAAAAATTATGCTCTTTACTAATTTTAAACTAAGGGCACCTTAACTCTATAGCACACACTTAACCACTACAACAATTTGTAATTTTAAAGCTATTTTAACATATATAATATATATTTTAAACTGCAATTTAGATTAATTCTAAAATCCTAAATAGCATAGCGATTAAACCCAAATTTTCCTATTATAGTCTCACATCTCTAAACCCTAAAATCTCAAGGTTTCACCAGCAATGGGTATCGACTTGATCTCGACCGCAAAAGCAATGGCTTATAATGTTTGGTGGTTTCAATTTCTTCTTCCCGATTCGCATGATTCACTCACCAATCTAGTTCTGGCTAACAAGTAACATAAAAAAGTTATATTTGGATATCCTGTCGTTAAAAATTTAATGGTGATGTTGACGTGTCACAATAAGATAATAACATGTCATCATTAAAAAAGATAAAAAAATATCACGTCAAGAGTTCTATTAATTTTTTAACGACATGATACCAAATTGAAATCAAAACTAAACTAGGTATGATTTTGAAAAAAGATAAAGTTTAGGTACCAAAACATAATAAAAATAATAATTTAATTACTAAGTGTAGTTTACCCCAAAGATAATAAACCTGGCCCATTCTCAAAACATCCATAGTTTTGCCGTTAAAATTTTAATATTTTAGAAATTTTCAAGGCCCCTCACTCCTAATGCAAACTCTCTCCCTCGGAATTTATCTGCTGCTTTTCATTCCAGCTTCACATTTTTTAGGGTAAATTATAAATTGGTAACTGAACTTTATATTTTCTCTTATTTTACTCGATGTACTTTAAATCTTTTCAACTTTTTCATTAAACTTAATGCATAAGATTTTTTTTGTCACTAAGTCATTTTCTCATTAACATCATTATAAATGAGTTGTATATAGGTGCAAAATGATGTCATTTTGGTAAAAGTTTTATTTTTTTAAACGGCAGCGTTTTAATGCCGTTAATTATTTAACGGCGTAGTGAAAAAAAACTCAATGTATTAAGTTTATGAGTAAATTGAAAACTTTTAAAATTTAATGAACAAAATAAGAGAGAGTAAAGTTCAGAGACAAAATTTGTAATTTACCTTTTTCTTTTTATTTAAAGATTTTCTCTTCCCCGCTTGTAATAGTTTTGCAGACGACTTTGTTCAAAATTTGTTAAGTATATAATTTGTGGTAGATCTAAAAATATTTTTTAAGTTGAGCACATATATGTTAATAATATAATTTTTTTTAGATAAAATTAACATAAATAAAATTTTATGAAAGATACCATTAATAAAATAATTTATTAATTAAAAAATTCGAATTTCAACATTATTACTATTCACCTCAACAATACGTGGCTCCGCCACTGACTGCAATGCTTCCTGCCACAAAACCAACGGCAAAATTTGTATCAAGGACGATACTTGCACGAGCTTTCATCACTATATTAGCAAGCAATTTTCACCTGAGATGAAAAGGTCAAAAGAAAATTGCTTTAACAAGCATCAAACATATCTGAAAATGAACCATAGGAAAACTTACGTTTGATTATAAAAAATATTTTCTATTTCTATTTTTTGTGTTTTGTTTTCAGAAAATAGTTTTTATTTTCAGTTTTTGTAAAATTAGAAAACATGCTTAGTTAATATAAATAAAAATTTGAATCTAAACATAAAATAGTAAAAATGTATTTAATATCTAATTTTTAAAAATAGAAATGAATGAATAGTTATTAAAAAGTAAATTAAATTATAATTATTAAAAAAATCATTACATTAATTTAACATGTGAGTTATAAAAATATAAAACAATAAAGTTGATAAGAAATTCCATTTTAATTTATCATAAGAATTTAATGTTATTTTATATTGGATATCAATTAAATTATTAAAATACAAAAAATATTGTTATATGTAGGAGCACACAAAAATGTCACTAAAATAAACATATGTTTAATGATAATTGAGGTCCTCAAACATTTAGAAAAAATAATTAGTGTAGTCTTTGTACACTTTTTGCACTAAAAACAAAATTAATCTAACCCTTTGAAGAACATAATCAAACATTGGTTGTCGCGACGTTTTCGTGAAAGTTAATAAATTTACATGACATTATACAATATTGATGTGACAATTTATGATACTATTGTGATAGTACAAAATAGACGATGATGTGGTAGATGAGTTTAATTGATTCTTTTGGAAGTTTGATGGCGTAATTTATTTTTTAAATAAAAATTAATTAAATTAAAAATATAAAATATAAACAATTATTAAGATATTCAATAAATTAAATATAAGGCTTAAGGGCTACTTTATCCCTGTAGTATATCCAATTTATTATTTTCTCCCTAATGGTATTTTCGCATGGGGCATCATCCTAGCCCTTGAATTCTGTTGACAAATTTGACTAACAGAACCATGAGTCTTCTACATTGTGGATTAAGTGATTACGCTAAAATATTTACCAAACACAATGGTTAGAAAAAAATCTCAAAATTTTATTACTTATTTCAAAGAGGTTAAGGGATTATGTTAAAATTTTGAGGATTTTTTTCCAACCGTTGTGTTTAGTAAATATTTTATTATTTATTTTTAGTAATTATCACGTCATCATCAAGCCACGTCAGTAATATTGGTTAATGTGAAAATTGCTGGCGTCCACAAACTCAGAAGACTAACGGCTCTATTAGTCAAAACTGTCTGTGTAGGCTAGGATGTTGATCCTAAACAACTTCGAGGGCTAAATTAATGCAAAAATATCAGAAGGGCGAAAATGATAAATTAAATCTACTACAAGAACAAAAATAGCCCTTGAGCCTAAAAACAAAAATACTATAAAATTAAATTATTAAAAAACTCAATTTAAGGATTATATTGAGTGTAAAAAAAGTTTAGGGACTATATTGATTTTGTTTGAAAAAGTTTGAAGGTTTCATATACCATTAAACCAAAAAATTATTGTTAGAATAATTTGAACCATTGTAAGTTAAGTTAAAAATCTAAATCTCATGTTTCATTATTTTTCGAATTTTCAAAACAATTTTAATTTCAATATTTTCATATTTTCATTCATTTTTTTTTTCATTTTCCAAAGTCATTTTTTAATTTTACAATCAAATATATTTTCCTAATATTTTCTACTTTTTAAGATAATAAAGTAAAAATAATTTGTATTTTCTAAAACGAAAAGAACTAAAGATTTAGGAAAAGAAAGTCTCACTATCCAAATTGTTGTTCAAGGCAAGTCCATAAGATGCAGGAGCTCTGAACATTTGTAAAGAATATATCAGCTACGATGACCGTCTCAGTGAATTTTATCAAACTGAAGAATATTACAGTACTTATTGGTTATAGAAAAGCCGTGCAAGAGTTTCTATTAGGATGTTAATGGGTTCAGCAGCTCGTTAGTTACTTGAATTTGATTCGTTAGTTTCTATTAAGATGTTAAATTATTAATTAATAGTTACTATTAATTTATTAATTTTCTAATAAACAAGAAAGATAATAAATTATTTATTAATAATTATTAATACAATAATTATCAATTTACTAGATTTTACATATAATTTAAAAATAAGGTAAAGATTCTGGTGAACTTAACGATCAATGAGTCGACTTGAGCAACGAGCAACGAATCTAGTCGAACAACAAATTATTTTAACGAACACGAGTCGAACAAAATTTTATCGAGCTTAATGAGCAATAAGTCGAGTAACAAATTATTTTAACAATAATGAATCGAGCAAAAGGTTATCGGACTTAATGAGCAAAGAATTGAGTCGAGCAACAATTTTTTAACGAGCACTACTCAACTATCGATCGACTAGCTGGATAATCACCCTAGTTTCTACTTGCAAAAGGGTATTTTCCAGTTCAACATATTAAGGAGTTGCAGATGCTAAAAGACGTGCAATTATGCCTGCAACTAATTGGACTTATGGGGTCAATGTTGGATCATTATTAGTTGTGAATTATTCCATTTAATTGCTAAAGAAAATGTCATAACAAAGCATGTGAATGCCAACCTAATTCACAACAACAACAACAAATTTATAAAACAGAAGAAGGAACTCAAGCATGTTCTGTAAGAAATTGAGTTGTAACTTCATATCATATTAATGATGTAATAATCATCCTCTGCCACAAAAAACATCCAGAGGCATCTTTGAGATAGTCAATAAACTATCCAACGTTTCTGCTTTTTCTTTTGAATACATAGCCGAAACAAGCAATCTTCTCTGTGAATTACTAAAAGAATTTTCCTTGGAATGATAAAAACGAATTGTAGATGAAATAAGAATCAATTTGACTGTAATTCCAACAATATTTTTCCACTTCCAGGGCTTGAATAACACTGTAAACCAGCAAAAGAGAAAACCTGAAAGCCCTCTCCTCGTGCTTTGACCTTCATTTTTCTTCACAGTTTCTTCCATATTGTTGAAACAAGCACTCAACTCTTTAGCCACATCCAGGGGTCTTCCTTCATACTGTGTTACTTGTTTTATGAGAAATATTCTGCTTTGTTCCAATCGACTGAGGACCGAATGCCTCTCTGTCAGCTGCCGAGCCTGCAATTTCTGCATGTAGATATGAACATAAACCTCTAAAAAGGCCTGCAATTACTTGTTATCTTGATGTTGGGATCTAAAGGGAAATATGATGGGAAGTAAAGGAGACGAAAAAAGTTGCAAAACCTGGAAATGCAAAAGGGTGTTGTCAACATCCTTCACTGAATTCCTGATGGCAATCAACCCCTTCCTTTCCTCAAATGGAATCTGCTTTGAACAATGCCTGCAGAAGATGATACTGTTTTCAATTTCTTGGATGAGAGTCTGCAGTTTCTTGTGATTCAACTCCATTGGTGGAAAAAGGAAAACACATTCCCCAATATTCAGAACACTACTGTTCCTTCCGGAATTATACTAACTTTTTAAAGTCCCACCATTTGCACTTTATTCTGTCATTTTTGTGTCTTTATACAAATTACTACTCTTTTTCTTTTCTTGGTTGTGGTGGACGAAAAAGAGAGGTTGAGGAATAATTTGGAAGATTATAGAATGGAAGATCGGCCTATACTTTTTAATGGTGTTTTCTCAATGGACAAAATCATTCTGATGTTTTTCACTTCGCTTTGTGTGTGTAGGTTTGCTTTAAAAGTACAATATTTAAGGATGTCAACCGTTCGGGTTGGGTCGGGTTTTTGTTCAACTCGATCTGCCCCGAAAAATATATACACTCCATCTGAATCTAATTCAACCCGGCTCGAAAAATATATATTTTTCATTAGGCTCCAACTCGATCCGAACTTTTAAATTATAAATCTGACATAATTCGGTCCTACTCGACCCAATATAAAATAACGGCTTAATTAAAAAAACAATAGAGAGGACATATTATAGCAATTATCCATAAATGTATTTGAAAAAATTACATTATTACCCTCGGGTCGGGTTGTCAGATTGAAGTTTTTTCACCCTCCACCTGAATCCGACCTCACTCCTTTATAAAATCCGATCCTACCCGACCAAAACTCGGAATTCTTTTTAAAATAATTTGATCCTATTGAATCAGGTCGAGTCAGATCGAAATGTTTTCACCCTCCACTTGAACTCGACTTGACCCGACTTCACTCCTGTCGCTGTTGTATTTCGAGTGGGCCCGAAATTAGGTTTCGACTTAAAAAGTGGATTAGAGTCACCACCAATAATTTATTTTAAGAACAAAATGGGTCGATCGTATTCCTTGATTTCTTACCTGATCTGCATCTTACCAAAGATGTCGGATTTGGGAGTCGGTTACAGTCAAGGAAGGATTAGCACCCCTGAACTGCCATTTCGGTACTAATTAATTTCCAGTTGTCTTAATTAAAAAAATTGCAAGTTAAAGTAAAAGGTAAAATATGATCCAAATTGCTTCCCTCCGATTCATTAAAATAGTCTTAAAAGGTCAAAAAGACGTTAGATAAAAAACACTTAATTGAACCAAAGAAAAGGCAAAGGTTAAATTATAATACTTTAAATAGAACAAAAAATATACACACGTCAAGAAATTAACGTAATAAAATAAATAGAACAACAAACAAATCATGCATTAAAAACATAGTGCGAAAATGTGAAAGAAAAAAGGTCTAAAAAAATTAATTGTGAAATTAAAGATAAACGATTACTAAAATAAAGAAAAGAAATAAAATAAAACCCCAAAAAATAGCTAGATAAATAAATATATAAACAAATAAAAACAAAATAATAATAATAAAAGACTAATCTCAAAAAAAATTAATAAAATAAAATAAAAATAAAAATAAAAATAAAACAAAACAAAACAAAACAAAATAAATAAACAAAATAAAATAAAATAAAATAAAAATAAAAATAAAAATAAGGGAAGAAATAATGGAATTAAAAAACAGAAACAAAAACATAAAAAAAGAAATAAAATAAAATAAAAAATAAAATAAAATAAAAAATTAAAATAAAATTAATAATACAATGTGTATATATAATGTAGTATTAAATAAATAAAATAAAGTAAAATAAAATAAAATAAAATAAAAGAAATATATATATATAATGTTAAAAAAATAAAACAGAAACAATCAAAAGGTAAAATAAAAATAAAAATAAAAATAAAATATATATAAATATTAACGTTAAAATAGATAAAATAAATAAAGGAGGGAATATATATAATAATAATAATAATAATAATAATAATAATAATAATAATAATAATAATAATAATAAAGAAAATAATATATAAAAAATGTAATATTAAATAAATAAAAAATAAAAACAAAAACTTGAGTTTAGAAAAGGACTAAATTATAAGAAAAACAAATTGGACGGCTAATTGTAAATCAATTAGGGGTAAAATTCAATTTTCGAGGGCCAAATAAACGTTTAGAAAACATGGGGGGACTGAAAATGTAATTAGCCCTCTTTTTCGATAAAACATGCGGATCCTAAGATCCTCGGGTCGGGTCGGGTCATCGGGCCTCCACGGGTCACGTATAAAAGCCATTTTTCATAAACAATTTTCATTTTCTCCCCTTATTTCAAAACAGATCAAATCGCACCCTAAAGAAATTCTCTCTCGTGTTCTTGGTGTTCTTCATTTGATGAAGAACACTGTCGTTCAACCAAGAAACCGGCCAGTCGTCGCCAACAGCGACAAAACCCCACTTTTTTACACCATTCGAAAAACCAATTCCGTCCTCGTTTCGAAAATCCCCATAGTTTTCGCAAAATAGCCTCGGGGAGGGCTAGATCTAAGATTCAAAATCTCAAAAACCTCCCCCATATTTATCGACGTTTCGAACCCAAAAAGAGAGAAAAAGAAAATGAAACAAGCCACATGCAAAGACCAAAAACCGAACTAGGCAAAAAAAAAAGAAAAAATAACTCCTTTATTTCCACTTTCGAAAGTTTACAAAGATTTTTTCCGATTGCCTTGTTTTTCTTTCATATTTTCTTTGTATGATTTCTTGTGTATTTCTTGGTATTTACATGCATATTTATAGTCTAAAAAAATCTATTTTTAGTTCGGTTTCTAGAGTTCCTCTTGGACTAAAACACTTGCTTTGTTGCTTGTTGGTGAGTTCTTTGAATCCATGTCGTTGTGCTGAGAAAAGTGGCTGTGGGTTGAGGCTGGGGAGAGGAGTCTTCGAATGAGGGAGTTGCGGCTGGAACGTCGCTGAGGGAACAAGGGATAGGGTTTGAAAACCTTAACTATTTTAGTTCGAGTTGGGCTTTAGTGGACCCGGGTCTCGGGTCAGGTTCCAGATCTGGGCTGCTTCTTGTTGGATCACTGTTGGGTTTATTTATACTTGGGCTTTGGGCCTAGTTCTATAAATTATTGTTAGATCTATAACCAAATAAAAACAAGTTATTATATGCTATATAATTAAATTATAACATAATATGTATATATTAAATAATATAATACATATACATTATATACCCTAAATCATAACACATTAACTATATAGCATAAATTAACTTATAAATGACATGTAATAAAGTCAGACGAAAATACGTGTCGACAACTACCCCTATTTTCCCATTATCATATAACGAGGATAGAGCAAAGATTACAAGATACAATTTTTGTCTATCACATATGCATCACTGTTTAACATCCTTTATTATGGGGATCGATCCCCATATTATCGAATATCCTCTGTTGTAGAGTTGAGATCCGACTATTGGTTTGTTAATTCGGACTGAATCACGAAATGACTCCCTTACAGTGAGGTTGAGTTAAACTGGAAAATTTTGAGTATGATATCCTTCGTCATGAAGTTGAAACTGAACTCAAAGTTTTGGAAAGTAGCTCCTGGATCGTCTTCTAGCCCAATATACCTCGTTGTTAAGCTAAAACTTGACCTGAAGACTTCGGTGTTGCTGTGTAACAAATGACTCCTTCGTCGTGAGGTTGGGTCAATATTTTGGGTATGATATCCTTCGTGGTGAAGTTGAAATCGTAGGAAAATCAGAAAGTGACTTCTTCTTGCCAATCTTGACCTTAGTCCTTTCTCAACATAAAGACCATGGTGTGAAAATTTGATCGGAAAGTAGTTCCTTACCACTATCTTGAGGTAAATATGCTCTCGAGCTGAATGTAATCGATCTCGAAAGTTCTTGTTGACAGAAAACTCTTCTCACTTTTGAGTTACGCTGTACTTTGCTGGGGAATAAACCCCTGTTATTGTAGATGACTCATTTATTGTGAAATCAAGTCGATCCGTTGGGCATGATATCCTTCTTTGTGAAGTTGAAATCGTGGATGGCTCATTCGTTGTGAAGTTGAGCTTTGAATTTGATATCCTTCGTTGTGAAGTTGATATCCTATCTTGTAAATTGATTACTATGAGTTCAATAGCTCCGCTGTGAAGTTGAAATTGACTCTAGCAAGAATCTGCAAAGTTATGTATATATGCCACTATTTAGAGAAATGGTCGTTTTTATTTATAAGGGAAAAATAACCAACAATATATGACAAACATTTTGAAAGGTAAATACATAAATGAAGTATGAATGAAAGTCTTAAATTTCAATAATGTGGGCACTTCTAAACTGATAAGCCGTTAAGTGACCTTAAACGTAGCCTTTGTCAAGGGATCTTCGATGATGCGATAATGTTCAGGATAATGTAACCTTTCTCCGACTCGTTAAGTCTGTAGAAGATTCAGATGCCGGGATACTTCGCTGTCTGGATTAGGGATCTTTTCTGAATTATTATCCAAATCGCCCTTTCAGTTTTCAACTTGGACCCATCCTTGGTTTCAAGACACCTTTTTCGGGTTTTCATCTTGGACTCACCTTATTTTCTTTTCTTTTTTATTTTTCTTTTTTTTAATTTAGGGCGCCCTTTCGGGTTTTCACCCTAAACGTTTTTTCTCTTTTTTCTTTTTCGACTTAGGATGGCCTCTCGAGTTTTCATCCTAAGCAAAGTATTTTTTGATTGCATCCGAATTAACGGGATTTGGCAAATTTGGCCTGTCTATTTCAGCCAGGATAAGTGCGTCTCCGGAGAAGGCCTTTTCACGACATAAGGTCTCTCCTAATTTGGCATCCATTTCCTTCTAATGTCATTCTGAATTGGCCAAATTCTTTTTAACACAAGATCTCCTTCACGGAATACTCTTGGGTGCACCTTCTTGTTATGTGCTCGAATCATTCGTTTATGGTAGATTTGACCATGACAAATGACTTTTAATCTCTTTTCCTCTATTAGGTTCAGCTGATCATATCGAGATTACATCCATTCTGCATCATCTAGTTTGACTTCTGACAAGACCCAGAGTGACATAATTTCTACCTCAATGGGCATCACTACTTCCATCCCATATGCTAATAAAAATGGGGGTTGCCCCAGTCGAAGTTCGTACTGAGGTTCGGTAAGCAAACAAAGCGAAAGACAATTTTTCATGCCAATCCTTATAGGTTTTAGTTGTTTTCTCCACTATCTTCC